AGTCGTAGATCATTGTGAGGAGATTAAACAAGTTTCAGTTGGCCAGTTGCAAGACGACTGAACCAGTAACGATTTTGCAGCTCTCCTCTACATTGTCAGGTGTTATATGACTCGTCCATCCTCACTGGCCCAGCCCTCTTCCATACTCTTCCCAGAAAAGCCGGAGTGGATCAGGCTACCTTTTTCCATCGCCAAACTGTATCTCATCATCAGGCTCGCTTGTGACTGGACAGGCCAGGATTTAGCACTGTATGCCTCATCCATCTTTAGCACTTCAGCCTCTCCCTTTGAAACAGACAGTGATGGATGGATTTGCTGTAGCCCCGTTTCCTCTTTCCATCCACTCCCTCACCTTGGAAATGTGATGTTGCCAATGATGGTAAACTCTAGAACAGATCATTTTAAACCTGAATATAGAAGTTTAGTCTCCATCTTTTGCGATCAGTTAAACAAATACTATAAACACATAATAAAGCATCCTCACCAGCTACTAGTTTTAGTGATACTTCTTTTGAAAGTCTTGTTTAAAATCTAAAGAATATTTTAACTTTTCTGCCAATTAGCACCTAAAGCACTTACTCCATCTCCTGTCTTTGTTTCTGGCCACAATATTTCTCATTTTTCAGAGTGACAGAACAAATGCTGCTATTGCACCAGCACAGGAAGGTTCTAACAACTCTGAAGGATGTCTTTTCTGATCATTGAACACATTGTGATTCTCATACAAGAAGCTTTTCCTATTTAAATTAAAACTGAAGTTTTCAGGCCTTTAATTTGCAGTGATGTGCTGTTTATGCCAGTTTATAGAGCAACTTATTGCAGGAAGGAGTGGTGACGCAGAGGTTAGAGAAGGTGGGCCTGTGATTGGAAGGTTGCCGGTTCAACTCCCTGGATCAACAACATCAAAATGTGGGTGGAAAAGGTATAATACCCACACCTGCCTCCACCCTCATTTGCCTCACTCTTAACTCTTAACCCCCACCATCTGCTCCCCCCGGGCACTCTAGATGGCAGCTCTGTGCTCCACACAGAGGGCTGTGGTAGCTCGGTGGTCTGTGGTCGAGTCAGGAAGGACATCCATTGTAAAAAAAACAAAAAAAACAATCACCAAGTCTTCGTGCGAGTTAGTTCACTGTGGCGATCCCTGAGGAAGGAAGCAGCTGAAAGAATGAAAAATAAATAAATAAATAGAGCAGCTTATTGAAAATGACATTTATGGCCTCACTAATGTCATTATAGGTTGTCTGCATTAAACTGTCATTGGAGGTGTCTTTAGTAAGGTCGCATGAGGACATGTTGTACCTCACTCCACAAAATTAGGAAACAGAAGTTGGAACAATCACCCTTCATTCATCCCTCTTTTTGTTTTAATATTGCATAAACCATGTTCTTTCCAGCTACTTGTATTGTTTCAGTATCGCTTACATGAAATAAAAAACCTATGCAGGAGCAGAAAAGCTTACCTCATGATATTTTAACATGAAACCTTGAGTAATGCCTAAAATGTTAAGTCATAGGAGCAATGACTTTTGAAAATAAAAATAAAAAGTCCAGTCCCGTCCATCAAATACACTTCTGGTGATGCAATCTGAGCTTCCTTTGGGAACTATAAATAACTTAAAGAAAAATATATCAGAGGACCCATTCAGATCATGTTACAAAAAACTAAAAATGCTGATAATGCATGTAAAACTTCCAGCTTGCTTGTTAAGTGACAGAAAAGGAGCACGACCAAAATAAACCAAAAACATCTTCTTATAACCTCAAGCTGACGTAACTCAGCCGGACAGTATGGTGGATCAGCTATATAACAATCCAATATTGCAATCTGCAGATTTAAACCTCAACTACATTTTTATGAATGTCCACCTTTCAGTTCAGGTCATTTTATTCAGAAATAACTTTAAAAACCAAGCTACCAAGTGTGCCAATACATAACTGAAGGGTTTTTCTCCTCACACATTAAAAAAAGTCAAAACATGCAGTTGAAGGTGTATCACCTTGGTGTATTAGAATTGGGAATCGTGTGCCTTCATATTTGGTAGCAGTGTTGTAATCGTACAGCTGCTTCGCTGGGTTAGAGGGGTCTCTTCTTACTTTCCTTCTTTTTTTGAGCGCCTCATGTTAATGTTTTGCAATCGAAGGTTAAAGCGAGACTTGGTTTTCTATATAGACATTGAACTTCGTTTACACTGGCTGCAAAATGCACCATTGTTGAAACAAACATTCTACCTCTGTTGGATTATGGAGACATCATTTAAAGACATGCTTGTAAAGGGTCTTAGTAAGCTGGACACAATTTATCACTCTGCTACTGGCTTTGTTACAAATGCCCCTTACAGAACACATCGTCACTTCTACTCTCTTGTTAAATGCCTTCTCTACATACAGGTACTCATCATGAAATTCATTGGTTTACTCTCATTTATAAGATGTTGCTGGGTTATTAACCTCCATATTTAACTCATCTACTGCAACTAGCACCGCTTTTGAAGTATAACACCCGATCCTCTCAGTATTTGTGGTTAACAACTTTAGCTTTGGCTCTGCTGCTCCATCAGACTGGAATCTGCTTCAAAAAACTTTGGGTCTGACCTCATTTGTCTCAGTTTCTAGTTTTAAAAATAGTTTTAAAGCCAATACTGTATTTTCCATTATATATAATATATATATATATATATATATATATATATATATATATATATATATATATATGTTTTTTTTTTCATATTCATAATGCAATTTTTAACTGATGCTTTAAATTTCTAAGAACTGCAACAGTGAGTCCTCACGTGCATGCTCGCTTCACTCAGCTGGTGCAGGCGGAGGAACGCTGGAGAGCTAGCAGCTCCGGCTACAATGGATGGATGGATGGATGGATGGTGCTGTGTCGCCCAGACGAAATTAAACTGTTTTGACCATTAAAGTGCATTTATTAAGGAAAAGTTAAACTGAGAGACACCTTTGCTATAATGTCAAGCAAACAAATAATTGGTTGTAAGTATTAAACTTGTTACATTTCTTAAGAACTGCAACAGCAAGTCCTCCCAGACGCACTCGCTTCACTCAGCTGGTGCAGGCGGAAGAACCCTGGAGAGCTAGCGGCTCCGCCTGCCATGGATGGATGGATGGATGGATGGATGGACGGATGGATGACACCGTGCCGCCCAGGCAAAACGAAGCTGTTTTGACCATTAAATAAACACACAATAAAAGCGACTTGTACATCGAAGCGACATGTTTTTTCCCTCATTATGCTTTTTTACACTGATGCGACTTATACGCCGGAAAATACGGTACTTGTAAATGTTTTCATGCTTAGTAATGTTGTCATTTAACTTTGACTATGAACTGTTGTTAATGCAATTTGTGATTTCCTTGTGTGTTACTATTATTTTTGCCTAACTGTATTATTTCCCTTTCCTTCACCTTACAAGTACCTGTTGGTACTGCCAGGCCAGCACTGTAAAGAAAAATGTGTTCCCAGTGTTTATGCCTGGTTAAATAAAGGTGAAATGAAAATGTATAATGTGTGGACTAAGAACCTCCTGCTGTGGATGGACAGAAGTTTAAATTCTGACAAGTTTCAACATGAGAAGTTGTCACTGTGAGCCATTATTTAATCTGCAGTACAGATGATGTTATTTGTTACACTAAACTGTTTGCATGGTGGCTGTTACTTCCAGCAGAAGCTTCCCGTCACGAGTTCTTCATCCAGACTACAGATGGCACTATTGCTTCAGGATGACTGACACTGAACCCAACAGGTGAGGTGTTCTACACTCCCACTGAAATGACTGAAAACCTTTTCTCCCGTTTCACAATTCATACATCACCTTTTTTAATAAATAAAATAATGCAACACTTACACAGAAGTTTATTAAACCACTATCTTTATAGTCTAAAGATATTTCTGAAGAGTTTTCATACTGGAACTTGAAAAGGAGCATTGTTGATTTTTGTATGAAACATCTCTGATCAGCTCGTCTGAACCTTGTGTGGCTTCCGTTGGTTCTTCTTGGTGAATTATCAGAATTAAATATAAGCATCCTCATCATTTCATCTCTCTACCCCACGTATCAGTCTTCCCAGATTTATGAACAGAATCGTACTAATTATTTTTGGTTTTGAGGCTGATCTGAAACAAATCTTAAAAAGTGCTGTAGTTGATTCAGCTGCCACACAGCCAATGAACATGCAGAATGTTGTGATGGCTAAAACTAAAATAATAATTTTTTTAAGCTTTTGTTGATTTTCCATGACTGGAAAAGACCGATCTCCTCTGAGCTTCAGTTGTTTCTGGAACAGTCAAAAGCAGCTGATCAGATGATCTCAGCAGCCAAGAAGGAACATTTGGTTCCAGTAGCTCGGACAGATATGGAGGTGCAAGGTCATTTACGCACTTGAAGGTTAGCAGGAGGATTTTAAAATCAATTCTGGTACGCATAAGGAGCCAGTGAAGGGAAGACAAAACCGGTGTAATATGATCAAACCTACGAGCTCCTGTTAAGAGCCGAGCTTTTATAAAGCTAAAAATGCCTCATGAATTTTAACATTTATTGATAATTTTACAATTTAAGACAAATGAAAATACCAAAATGGCTGTAAAGTGTGTGTGTGTTGGGGGGGGGGGGGGGGGGGGGGCTTTTAATTAAGTATAGAAATAAAGTATAACGTTAAAGTGAGTATGGTTTACTCCTTGTACTTGTTCCAGTATTCAGAAATGACAGGAAAACTGCTAAAACTCGTCCTTTTTTGTTGTTTGTATAACAACCAATAAAATTGTTTTATGGTAGTTTTGGTTAAAGCTTGAAAGAGCCGCTGTGGAGGAACTAAAGAGCTGCATGTGGCTCCAGAGCCGCAGATTGCAGACCCCTGAACTAAACCAATTTTACAAACACACGGGCAAGTTGGTGACATTAAAAAGTTTATTAGTTTAATTTACAAACAGCACTGACACAATAAATGACAGTGCAGACAGGAGGGACCTCCACATCGTCTCCATTAGTAGTATTAACTTTACAGCTCGGTACATTTTCTGGTCACATGTCTTAAAGTTATTGTTGCCAATGTGGCATCAATTACTAACAAGAGCCTGGGATGGAGAGGTGACAGGATGGCTCAGTCTGTGAATGCTTTGCATCAGGGTGAGAACTACTTGGAGCCTGTTTTACATGTCTTTGCTGTTGAGGGGTTAATAAATGTCTTACAGTTTCTGTCAGAAGAAAGTAGTTAGAGAAAACTATTTTGACAAGGTTGGGACCAACAACAACAAAATAAATTAATTTAAGATGAAGTTCTGGACAAACTGAAAAGACGTCCGAGCTGCCATCTGGCTCCAACTTGAGAGTGCAGAAAAAATGCGTATCTAAGACATGGTGATCTGCATGGACTCCAACATCTCCTCCACTGCCTTCGTGGAACATTTGTTGTCTTTGGACCCTCGACCAGCCAGCTGTTTGCCAGGAGAGGAAGGTGAGAAGCAGAGAAACACAAAGCAGAAGGAGAGGAAAGTCTCGTTAGATGTTTTCATCCAGCTCAAGTAATTATGAACCATGTACTCTGAAACCTCACAGAGGCAGCTAGAGCCTCGTCCACCCTGTCGGATGCTTCACTGACTCAAGAAAAACATCCTTGTGCTTGTTTGAAATCCAGAAGGCTAGAGGCTAACATAATCGGTCGCAAGAGCGGTCATTAAATTTGGCAAATAGGTCACGCAAAGTTAGGAAATACTTCTAATTAAAGACATTTGAAGTGTTGTGTAAGTGCTATTTTTAATTGAAGTGTGCTTGGAGATAGAATTTCAGTTTTAGTCTATTTCCGTGGCCTCTAGTACACAAGTACGTAACACTGATGTCAGCACTATATCCAGACAGGAAGTGCCGCAAATCATAATCCACATACGTGTACAAGAGAACTCATGCGTACACATACAGGCACATGCTTTTCTACTCAATTTAATTCTGCACTGGGTAAGGCGTCCCCTCAAAACGTACAAAAACGGAAAGATGACTTCCTTAACTTTGGGCAAGACGGCAGAAATATAACAAAGGATTTGTCCAAAATAAACCTCAGCGTCACCCAGGACCAAAATACATCTTTATGCAAGCCTTTTAAAATAACTTTAAAAAGCAGGTTAGAACTTTGTACAATAAAAAAAGGAAGTGCAATGAGTTGCAAATATTTTAAATGTTGGGCTTAACATGTTGATATCATGAAGCATCACTGCTGAACAGTTGTCATTCTATGACTTGATACAATATGGTATTAGGAATATTACAGAATTAATACTATTGTACCTTAAATGGTCATTATGGTGCAGTGTATCTTTGTAGTCGCTGTTGTTTCATTAAGAGTAGTACTTTGTAACTGACTGATACTTATCTTTGGTACTTTTGAAGAGAATGATGACCAAACTGATATGGTGCGAGAGACATTAGCTGTAAACGTGAACACCAGAGTCTGCAACAGCACAATATCGTCTATAAGTCTGACTCAAAGCTTACGATAAATTACAAATGGTTTTTATTGTTTTTTGCGTGCAGACTGTAAGTTACATATATGACTGATGAATAAATCCATCCATCCATTATCTTTATCCACTTCTTCCTTTTTGGGTCGTGGGTGTCACTGGTGCCCATATCCAGCCATCACGGAGTGACAGGCAGGGGACACCCTGGACAGGTCTCCAGTCCATCACAGGGACACATAGAGACAAACAAGACAAACAACCATTCACTCACACCTAGAGACAATTTAGAGTCACCAGTCAGTCTAACATGCATGTTTTTGGTCTGTGGGAGGAAACTGGAGTACCTGGAGAAAACCCACACATGCACGGACAGAACATGCAAACTCCACCCAGACAGGTCCTGGGCTGGGATTTGAACTGGCGACCTTCTTGTTGAGAGGCAACAGCTCTATCAACTGAGCCACTCTGCTGCCACTGATGAATACATGAGCATCCTACTTAAAAACTCATTCAATGGTTTAACCATTCAGTTCACTTCTAAACTTCTTGGTTTTACGTCCATTTAACGTACGTGTTCAATCAGTGCAACACAATCAAACCCACTAAAAGAAGTTGTGTTGCCATAGTTCCAAACAGTGCAACGTTAAACAGCTGATTCCTCTCTTTCTGAGCAGCTACTGTCTGATGGAAAATGATGGGAGTTGAACTGTACCTTACCACGTAATGGAAAAACACCATTACTCACTACTTGCCAACTAAACCTTTAAGCAACAGGTTTTTTCCCTTTCTTTAAATGTTTAAATATGTTTGTTCACAAATGTATCAATGAAATGTTGGATTTGAAAAAAATGTCAAGTATTAGAAAACTTTGCATTGTTTCTATTGTATGTTTAACTTGGTGCTGTGACAGTTCTGTGAGTTGTATGGAACAGACACCAGCACCTGCTTTTATATGCATCTTAGAACAGGCTGAAAGCAACCCTGTGAACAGGGAACTCCAGTCTCGACCACACATGCCATCGTGCTTGATTCAACACATTTTTAATTCCACATCTACCCTTGCTCAGGCGTCTGCAAACAGGAACTAATGGCAATCTTAAGCTAGCCCAAACTGTATTTCCATAGCAAGAGTTTTTCCTTTCTTCGTCGCCAAACTCCATCTTAGAAGGCAGCTGGCTAAGGTATACAACTGGCAATGTAATTTTCTAAGGGTGACTCATACTTCCAGATTTATAGCGAGTATGTGTGTGCGACATGGTGTAGCTGTAATGATCAGAGCATTTAATTGCTTTGCCGTCTAATGCGCCATTAGCCCAGGCCTCGTAGTCAATTATCTGCTCAGCCTGAGGTGAGACCACCACATTAACTCCTGCCCTATTCTACAACAGCAGGAGCAGACCAGACAGCTCCACTTCTATTTAAAGCATCTGATAATAGAGTCATGAGGCAGCGGAAGCCTGAGGTCCATGACAGAGGAGCTAATCAGGGAATTTGTTTGGAAAGTTGAGGCAGGAGGGCAAGCCATATAGTTAAGGATTAAAGTGCCCCTTGCACCTGTGACCCACACATCTTTACACCTTTTACACGTCAGCCGTCCTCACTGAGGTAATTACATTTTTAAAGAATGTGCCCCAGTCAGTCATGACCTTTAGCTGACGTCTGCTGCCACTTGTGCTCACCTGCCCATTCTTTTCCTATCGCCGAGGTATGACAATCACCAGGTACTGAAGTCTAATAAAACTGGACGACTGACACGAGCAACACTTTTAAGGGGCCATCAATCAGCCAGCACAAGCCCACAGCAGCTTGCAGCTGTCTAATCTCTGCTCCCTGTAAAGACCTCAGAAGTCATTTAACCAAAGGTGAGACTGAAGGAATAAAGAAGGCAACCTCACACCTTATCATTTACCTTGTCTCTCATGGTACACAAAAGGAGCATGTGTGTAGTTGCTGCAAGCCATGCATACACCAACAGAACAGGTCGAAATTTACAACCTCACCATCATGAAGTCACTTACCCAAACAGGAAGTGAAGCCATTTACACTACACAAAGGCTACCTAGCAAAAGGTTTTCCTCTCAAACTGAATTGATTTATTCAAGATTTATATAACAAGTATAACATTATACATTAATGATGTAGAAAATGACTATTTGCACTAAAATGATGCTTAAGTTGACTGGTTACAGTTTGCAACCATTATTTTAATCATAAAGAACTATGGAAGACATATGTAAGGCATAGTCCAAACAGCCAACATCACTAAACACAGATGTGTCTGTGGGTGAACCCTCTCCCAGACACTTGCCAGTAAAGAAAATATTTAAGCAGGGAAACATGTGCTACACCTACTGGTTATGCTACTGTCGAACTTCTTTAACTACATTCAGCTGGGGTCCAATATTAAGTTTTCTCAAAACGAGTCAGATTTTTGAATTCAACTGACATCATTCATGTTTTTTGTTAAAAAAAAAAAAAAAAAAAAAGTTCAAGTTAACAAAAAGCAGGAAGTTTAAAACGTCTTAGTCTGCCAACTGGACAAAACGTTTTTCTAAGACACAAAGATAAAGGCAGAAGGCCCACTGGTCATTAACCTCATGAAAAAAATATTTTATTGACAGTGTCTTGAGAATTAATTTTCTCTTTAACCCTCTGTGGCACCTCAGGCAACAAACCACTATTTTGGCCCACGCACCGTACCCTGAACCTTTTTCAAGAAAAAAAAAAAAAAAAAAAAACTTTAAAAGTCTGAGGACAAGTCTGTGACAAATAAAATGTGACTTTTTAAAGCAAAATAAAACACACAAAAAGCATAACACACAATCAAGTTAAACAAATAACCCCAATGAAAGTTCATGTTAACTCAAACCCTTAACAGCAAATAAGAAATTTCCCTAAAATATACAAACTAGAGCTTCTGGCGTTTGCAATATGGACTTTTACAGCCATCTCTTCATATTTTTCTGTTGAGGTATCAGAGTTTTCAGAGGGTTCAGTGTGTGTCTTCAGCATCTAAGAAGCAAAACAAGGGGAGCAACTAGGCCTGAGAAGATAATTTGACCTCAAACTTCTCTGAAAATATGGAACTTGTTCAAAAACATTAACACACACACAAAGAAATATAGAGCTGAAAATCACACATTTTCTGGATACATTTCTGGATTAATAAATCCAATTAATAAAAGATTTCTGGATTTCTAAAAAAAAAATGTCTCTCCCACAGATTCAATATCTGTCAAGGAATAGAGTTTTTATTTATTTGTCATTTTTTTATTGGCTCGCAACAACAAAAAGAGAGGCTTTTTCTACACTGTATCATTTTTCCTGACAGGTCAGACCACATAAGATCCAGTGAGATCACACTTATCCCCCCAGTATACTCCCTCATAGTTCAGTCCGCGCGTACCGGATAAAAGTCGAAGCGGACGCCCGCAGGGAATGTCTGCACAAAGCTCAATTTTTATGACCACGTACGCATACTTGGTGTCACACAGTAAACTGCCCGGCGATGGACTGTTTTGTATGCAACACCAATGTATTAAATTCCACTTCTTCATCCCTGATCTGGCCTTTTCTTTTGTTTTTTGTTTTTGCCAAAAGGCAAGCAATCTCTTCCTCCTCTGTTGATGTCATGACTGAAATGGTGAGAAATGAAAGAATTTGTCACGAGCGAATTAAAATCAGGTTCAGTGTGGCTGCGAGAGGGTCTGGAGATTTCCTGGTGGACTGGTCTAATGTGTGGGCTGCAGGGCCAGTGCTCCCTGGTTTTTTGTTGTTGTTTTTTTTTTTTACTTTTTGTAAATGTAGTATGACAAATATATGAGATATATGCATACAATTTCACGAGTTCCTCATCTTTCTGACTGTGTAATGTCGTGCCTTGAAATTAACAGAAATGTAACGAGAGACGTTATTTATCTTTGACCCATCAAATCAATGCGGTCATTTATTTTCAGAATCAAAGTTTAACATCAAACATTTACATTAATTTGGCAAAATATGAAAATAATAACAGACAAGTTTCACAAATAATGAACTTCAAATCACTCGGCGGTGATTTGAGGACTTTGCTTCAGATATTTCTAAAATATCTGTACTGATTTTATGAGAAAGAGGAGAGTTTAAGATGAAATGGAGATTTATCTTACAGGGAAATATGTGAGGAAATTAATATCTGTTGACCAGAAATTGCACGCTCCATCAGATCTCAGCTTGCCCACGGTACACTTGGTCGAAGAAGAAACCTTTACCTGGTCGACGATAATCGGCTCAGTAAGAATCCTTCAGACTCTTTCCAGCGTCTCCGTTGAGAACAGCTAAAATCCTTCGAGAGTCGTGCGTGGGTCGTTCAAACAGAAATTATAATTCCAAAACGTCTCTGGATCATCCTGAACGCGTTCTGCATCCAAGAACTCTGAACTCCTTTCATTCTTTTACTCTCAGCAACTCTTCATTGTCTAAGTCTCTCAGACTCTCAGACCCTCAGACTCTCAGACTCTTCTGAAAAACTGAAAAACCCGACTTGAACGGGGAAGTTGCCACATTTAAATGGGTCGACTTCCGGTTCAATTTAGAGCTTTCTGATTCGTGGATGTACCAGAAAGAGGTGTGTTTTTGTGACGTAAGATGTTATCTAAGCCAAGGTCAGAGAATGAGATTGTTCAACAACTGACAGAGAGATTATTGCAGAAAAGCAGACTTCGTGGAGTCAACTCTTCTGTATCTTCTGTAAAGATTAAACATGACATTTCTTTTTCAGTAAACATTTTAGTTGACCGAAGACCGACCTTTCACATACTTACAAAACTTAGCTCATTTCAGACAGAAAATCAAGAAATGCATATTAACCTGATTTCTTCTTTGAATGAGGAATAAAAATCATTACTTACTGTTTATGTAAAATAAAAATGAGTAGTTCTTTCCAACCTGTAAGCATTGAATGGAACTAACACAATTTGATTATCAAACATTTGTAAACAGTAATGATTATAGAGAATTGTCTTTTCTGCTTGATTAATTCAAGAAAGAAAGTCACCAGATGGCTCAGACTGTATTCAGATCAATGAAAATAACAGTCTCTGTCCATCTGATAGATTTGAGGTCATCAGGGTCAGATCAGGGTCAGATCAGGTTCACTACATAAACAACATATAAACACAGAACACTACTGCGGTTGGGGCTGCCAGCTCTCTCTTTATTTTTCTCGACCTGTCAATCAATCCAGAAGGCGTGTCAGCAAATGACCATTCGGCGACCTCAATTTGTCCCGAAGGTAAATGCCCCTCGTCTGCGGAGCTGCTCTGCAGCCGCTCAGGGTGGATGCTCGAGTATGAAGTCTCAACTCTCTGCGGACAATGAGCACAGTTTCCACACGGCTGACAGGACGCACGAGTAAACTGGAGCCTTTAGTCCGCCCCTCCCATCCACTAGATAGGCTGTGCTCCCGGATGAAGGCAGAGCCTAGGCCCCATATATTTGTAAGGCAATGTGCCATCCGGCCCCTTCAGTCCTTGATCTCACGTCAAATTGTATCAGAGAGGCCAGCGCTGTAAACTGTAACTGTAATAGTTTGTAGAACCACTGTTAGCAGCAATAAGCAGAATTTCTCTGAGCATGGTCTGACTTTGGGGTGAACTTGTTGGGATAACACTACAGGCTGCCACATACTCAGGCATACTGTGTGTAATCTGTGAGCAGCGCGGACTCCGCGCGGACTGTCCGCAGACGGTTGAGACTCATACTCGAGCGTACAGAGTTTAATTCTCTTGTGACAAATTCCTTCATTTCTCACAATTTCATGGCGTCAGTGGAGGAGGAGGAAGAGATTGCATGCCTCTTAGTAAAAAAACAAAAAAGGTGGGACATAAAGACAATGGACAGCAAGAAACATTTTGAATATTTTCGAATGAATTCTAGCAAGTTTGATGAGCTAGTTAGGCGCTTAGCCCTGTTTCTTCACCACCAGGGCAGCCACTGCACACATGTAAGCACTGCACAGAGTGTGGCAGTTGCGCTGCACATCCTTGCGACTGGTTTCTCGGAACACAGAGAGTGGTTGGTGTCGCATACAAAACAGTTTTGATGTGAACACCGTCAAAGGGCAGTTTATTGTGCGACACAGAGTACGCGTACACGGTCATAAAAATTTATCTTTGCACGGACATGTCCAGCCGACGTCCACTTCGAGTACACGCAGACCTCTGCGGAGTGAAGTACGCCTGAGTATGTGGGAGTCTTTACCAGTTTCCCCTACTATTATACAAGCAGGGAACTCTGACCTGTCAACCGAACTGAGCACCCTGCCTACCAAACCCCCCACCCATCGACAACTGCCAGCACTGACGTAATCAAAATCAACCTTTATTGTCATTGTACAGAAGCACAATGAAACTCCACTTCAGTACAGCTGAACTAGGATAGTGGCGCGCAATACAGACGTGTTTGCTAAAAAGCTATGACTATTGAGTTAGTGCTCCGGCTACCCCCGCGCACTTGAAAACTGTTGATACAAACAGGGCGCAACACAGATGCATCTCCGTCTCCACCCCTACTCCACCCGCCGACAAAAATCATGGACGATATGAGTGCCCTGCTAAGGCAAGTAAACTAGGGGACACACTGTAAAACGATGGATTGTAAACAGTTTGAAAAGGGTTTTAAAACCTTTCCAAGATTGATGTACAGCTACCTCTGCTTCTCTAAGGTCACTGCTGATGTCTTTCCTCCTTGTCATCGTTTTAGCACACATTGGTATGCACCAGAGTAACAAAATGACAAAACTCTTTCTTTTACAGAGGTGGTCACACTTACTGATGATCAGTTATTTAAATTAATTTAATTAGCAGCACTTTACTGCAACTTTTCCCTTTTAAACCTTGTAGAGACAGAAAGAGTGGACTTAACAAATCCTGACATCATGGAATCTGTTGTGTTTTTGTACAGTTGAGGTTAGATTTGAATAACTTGGAACTTTTTAAAGACCAGATCACTTATTATGTCTTGATATAGAATTGAAAGGAGTACTTTTCCCCCTTATGACTGTAATTTCTGATTAAGTACTTGCAGAAACTTGTGGCTTTAAGTTAATATATTAACAGTAAATGTACACGCTGAAAAACACTTGGCTTGCTATTACAACATTGCTAGTCAAAGACAGCCTTGAGGACTGCGGTGCATTTTAGGATCATTTGGAAGAGAATACTTTTCACATTTTATGCAAACAAGGAGGTTTTCAGAATGTCTGGACATTGTGTGCAAGTATCCCATGAAAGTTAAAACACAACAGTGGTTTTTGGTGTCAGGGGCTGAAGAGTGATGTGGGAAAAATAACGTATTTAAGCAGAAGATAGAGCCATCAAACAGACAGACAAATGCTAGAATTCTGTCATAATCTTTAGGTAAAAATTACAAAACTCCTTGTGACTCACCTTGTAGGCTCTGTTTATTTGATTAGCAGCCCAAGCAGCATACTTGATATTGTCTTTCTTCACCTTGGCACTGACTTTAGGACTGGCAGCAATGTGACTTGCAGACTTGGGAAAAAGACAGAAAACACGAGGAAGAGAAGTAAAGAAGAGAACAGTAGAAAGTGTATTCTTATATCAAAACTCTGTTAAGCAGCAATAAAAGCGTAATTGAGATGAATGTGCAACCACTCTTACCATCTACCACTCCACTAGTCATTGTGGAGAGAAAAAGCAGACCGTGGCCTGATGACACAGGGGAAATCATTTATGGGAAGGAAAAAGTGAGCGTTTTAATGCTTCATACGTAAATTGTCATTTAACAGGGACTAATTTCTCCAACACCATTGATTCTTGGTGATGAAAAAGCCTAGTATGTTTAAAAAGAAGAAGAAGAAAAAGCCAAGCACGCAGTGAGAGGAGTGCCTTGTGAATCACAGTGTGTGCCTGCCTTGACAGCTCCACTCTGAACCACAAATCCCATGTCTTTCCCATGTTCCTGCCATCATCTCCACACAGCAAACCCCAGAGGGTTTACACGGCCTGCACTTCAAAGTTCTCCCTACCAGCGTGTTGAAACTTTAACTACATAACAATCAATCTGGCCCGGTTTCTTTTTGAGAAAATGGTTTGGCTTCTGTATTTTTTTAGTAAGCATTTTCTTTCTGCCTTTCTTTTTTTTTCTAATTCAAGAGAAACCTCAGTTTAGATGATGTCAACCTTGACAGGCTATCCCTGAATAACAGCGTGCACCATTATGGAGGGGAATCCCCACTCATGTGTGGTCAGTAACTAGCCCACAACCCAACTGTGGTCAGTGCTACCAAGTCCACTGTCACACTGACTCAGATGGTTTGAGATGGTGAAAGTTTTCTGCCCTTTCACTGAACTTCCTGCACCTGTCAAGATTTGAAACAAAGCAACTAGCACACAATTTGCAATCAAGACCAATCTGTGGCTGATAAACTTTAAACTACAACTTGAGGAATTCATTAGACATTGTAAGAAAAAAAACTGCTGCCATGTCTCCAGACTAGCTTGAGGGCTAACAGAGGCAAATGTTTTGGATCTGACCCTGCCTTGCACCTCCTGCACGTGCTGTCCCCACCTCTGTGAGGTTTCAGAGGCTATGGGCTGCTCCGTGGTGTTTGGACTATTTGAAACATCCCAGTGCAGAACAGAGGAAAATAGTAGGGCTGCTTCCCTTCTCCACCTTTTATTCCCTGCAATGCTTTGTTTGTGTTTTTATGTCAGGTCTCCCTTACACATATTTCCTTGGCACTAGCAGACAACATCTTGTTTAAAGAAATATGCAGATGAAAGCATTTCAGCCCAGACCACAATCAAACCAGAAACTTGATTGGATAATTCGGCAATGACAAAATACCTGCTGAGGTTGGACTGTGCTTTCTTGTTAATTTCTTTTTTGTTTTTGTTTCATCTGTGCTTTATTTATCTAAGCCAAGCATGGAGCCCTATAAAAACCAAATTATTGCTAAAATAAAGTACTTCTGAGAGGCAAACTTTCCCAATGCTGGGGTTCACTGAGTCAGCAGTGAGCTGACCTTTCTGAGAGCCCTTCTTGTTCCCCCACGAGCACACAGTCTTACTTAAATCACACTGTGGCCAACCTCAACCTTGACAAACCACAGGTTACAAAAATGGTTCTGCTGTTATAATTTTTTTCTTTTTCCTTTTTTTCCTCCCTCCATCCTCTCTTTCTTCAGCCAAACAGTACTCACCATATACAGACCAAACAACGCCCTCATGTTTCGGTTGTTCAGCCTCAGCGCTTGAGCAAAATACTTTCTGGACAGCTCAAGGTTTTCCAGCCCTCCCTGCGTGTACTTCACCTGTATGAGGAGACATTTTAGACAGCTTTAGTAAAGGGCAACCCAAGCAATGACAGTGTGACATATGAATAAGCAATATGTGACCACACACTGTAAACATGTCTCCTTTCATGCGCCGAGAGTAAACTGTGTTTCTCCCAGTTCAAGAAGGCATCATTGACCGAGTTAACGTTCAGACCGCAGTCTTTCTTTAAGCTTGATTATGGACACCAAGGGCAGCACCTACCTCAGCATACTGTTCACAGTACAAGTGATTGTGAGGATTGGTCATCATCAGCTCTTCCAGACAAAATGCTGCTTTTCCATAGCTGTAGTAATGACAAGACAAACAATAAGTCAACAGATACAGCTCAGCTCTGCATGAGTCATCCTTTAGCTCGCTCAGCTGTAAAGCACAACAAGTCTGCCTTTTTAACTTACATATACATCCAAATTCAAACTACAGGGGATGGAAGTCAATTCACCAGGAACAGATTTACAATATACACTGCAGAAATGTGTAAAAATCCACCATATGACAGAGTTTATTTACATGCTCACAGTAAAGTGTACTGTGTGCAGACAGCAGGCCAAAATAAAGCCTGCCTACTGTGGTGATGCCTCCTTTGAGAGCAAAGAGGATCAATCTTGTACTCCTGTGTTTGTTTTCTTGCCATTAATGTGCAGTTAACTACCTTCTTGAGGTCAGCACTACAAAAAGAGCTGGCACACTGTACCTATACTCAGATGAGATCACTTCTCAGTAGCACACTACTGAGCTTTTGACCTCACACTAATCTGTAGCGATTTCCACTTCTAATACAGTTTTTCTTGTTTTATGATAGAGTATATTAAACACAAAGCCACGAATGACTGAACAGCTAAAATAAATAAATAAATCACACACAGATCAATGCAAACGCAGATATGCCTACATCAGCTTTGTTTGTGTGCAGTTTAATAACCTGTATGCTAAGGGGATTTTGTACCTAATAGTTAATCACAGTAATAAAGCTTTTTCCTTACCTATAAATTGTTGCATTTCAATTTTATTATGAAACATTTTACACATTTCTGAGCAAACAATTTTTCACATTGCTTTGAGTAATGAAGAAAATGCTCAGTTCTGTGGAGAGAAAATAACCTAAATGTTGAATACCAGAACAAGGCAAACTTATCAGTTTACCTAAAGTGATCCATGGTAACTAGATGAAAGATTAACAGCATAGCCAGGGAAGGAAGGTTAGGACACAGAAAGAAACAAACACCGGGAACGAGCTGAGTAAAGAGGGAGATCAGAGGGCTTGAAGGGTTTGGGGGACTGCTTACGATTACCACTTCCTCTCCATAAAGACTTTCAGATGTGCTCGTGCAGCAGCCCTGGCCTGCAACAGAGCTTGCTATCAGCCATCAACCAGAATCTTGTACCAGATCCAGAACCTTTCCTTCTGTACTTTGTTTGCACCATCTAAACCTACTACCTCAGAGCTACTCTATAGGACGGTTCCTAAGCTAATTCAACCGAACCGCTCAAGCACAGTTGTAGACGCTGTGATGTGCAAGACTGTAGATTTGTATGCGTTTCTCTTGGAGGGTAGTAAACCATTAGCGGTGGTTTTCCAACATTTTAATACCACATTCGGACCGTGCAGAAGATGAAAAGGAAATCAGACTTGGCAAAATAAAGTTAAACATTTTATTGCGATTTAACATTCCATTTAAGATGGCCAGTTAAAAAAATGTTGCTCAAACTCAGAGCAAGGAGCAGAATCGAGCCAAAGCCCTTGCCAACAGAAAATAATTTTGAGTCTACACACCCAGATTGTTTAACGCTGTCAGCTCAGACACAACTGATTACATCCTTAATGTGTTGGTGCTGGTACTACAATAACAGCAATGAGGGATATATACCATGGCTTTGCCTATTATTAGCTCCCAGGGTGTTGCACAGTGAAGGGAAGACAGTTTATTTATCTTGTGTGCTTCACCCCCAACCAGTGTTTTCTCTGACTGGGAGGGGGAGGAGCACCACTATCTTCTCCTGGGAATTTCACAGCAAGTGTTCTCTCCCTTTGCTGTCTGCTCCGTCCCTCTGGAAACAAGCGGTGATAATGCCAGGCCCAGCGGAAGAGGAGGAGGGGAAACAAGGAGTTTTTACCCAAAATAAAGAAAAGAATGAAAAGAAATTGACACGCCTGTAGATAAGGGGCTGTGGGCGTGAATGGTGTGATATTAGAAGTGTTAGGATTAGCTGGGAGATAATGGTCTCACCCTTGGATTTCCTCTGGCTACTACAACCATAAAGCCTCCCAGACAAAAGCACGAAATATCCAATAAGTAGCCGTCTTACTGTGCTGCACATTCCTGCTACCTCTGCCTTCCTACCAGAGCAACCACACAGAGGTGTGCTCAACTGAATATAACATTAATGAGCATACAAAATGCAGAGTTTTAAACTGGTGGCACTGCCTCAGTAACTTCTGAGCCCCAAACAATTGCAGACAAATAAAAAGTGAAACAAAAGGTATAACTTTTTTTTGTTACAATGCTGGATCTGTCAATCGATTCTTCTACACAACTGAGATATCAGTGGGAGGTCAAGGAGTCGTACTGTTTCCATACATTGAGATGGGGGCTTACGATCAAAATCCTATTAACTACTCGTGTGTGACAAACATGGACAGGGCTCTATTCAGCCCTCTGGCTGAGGCTGGCATCTCCTCACCTTCTATTGTAGCCATTCAACAACCCTCTACAAATCAAGCCATCAGTCTGACACAAAGCTCCATCAAACTTGCAGGTACAACCATAACATATCTGACCTTGTGGCATTTTTTAACAAGTATTTATCAATAATGGAACCAGTTCAATATCAATTACCAGTTGGTACACCACAAATTCAGACTGAACACCATCTTAGAAGTTTAACACATGCCAGAGCTTCAGGGGTGGGTTTTCTCCCCCCCCCCCAAAAAAAAAAAAATCCCTTTGGTGTATGTACCAGGTATATGTGGAAAGTTTTGGCTTTTTTTGTCTGTCATACAATGCATGGTACTACCAAAGGTCATAGCACATCATTTCCAGTTGAGACACACATTTTGATCAACATTTTGCATGAGTTTTTCAAAGCTTTAAGAGGCTATGTGAACAACAAACATTCTTCAATGCTTATGCATTGGCCCCCTAACAATAGAAGAACATTGGTCATGAATCCTATCTTAGCAGTAACCCTAAATTCATCTGAAAGAACACATTGTAAAACAAAACCAATCACATTTTATGCAATTCATAAACTCATTAGACAATTTATTTTTTCTGATGGTAAACTGTGTTTGCAAATTGCAATGTTAGGAAATAGAAGTATGTTCTTGAAAAGATACTAAAACTACACTTGTTGTACACTTCTTGGTCTGCTGCCTTCATACTTCTCCTACATGTCTCTGCGTGAGTGCAGCTTCAGCGTGCGCTCTCAAGACATTATTACCTGCAGTGTTCCCTCAGTGAGGACTGAACTTGGCAAAAGGGCCTTCTCCTACTCTGCTCCTGTTTCCTGGAATACCTTACAAAAACATTTGAAGCTCTCGACCTTGACCTCTCTAAGTGGTTTTAAAAATCTGTTGGACTCCTGGCAGGGACCAATGCAGACATGTTCCTGTTTTTAGTTTTCTACATTTGCCTTATAATCTAGCTGTTTTATTACTCTTTTTGCCATCTTATTTGTAAAAAAAAATTCTGTATGCCTTTTTATAACCGTCTATTGTTGTCGCTGTTGTCATCATTCTTTTGTTGAAATCAGGTCTCTCTTGTAAATGAAGGTGCATTCACACCTGGTAGTCCGGTAGACTCGGTTCGGTTGGGGACCAATATTCATGACCTTTTGTTTACATTTGAGCTGGTGCGTTTGCATTCACACTGCACTGTGCAGTCGAGTCAACCTGTTGAACCAAACTATTCCCCCACTCGCCTGTGGGGCGCTGCACCAAGAACTACTAAAAGAAACGACACAAAAACCTCTGAAGACACGTCTTCTTCTTCTTCTTCTGTAAATAAAAATAAAAATGGAGTGGCATCAAGTTTTAGCAGTTTTAGGAGTTATATTTTGTCATTTTTCAAAAATGGACTCAGCATGAGCAGAAGATGAGGCAGAAGACCATGGAGAATATTGTTTTTCCACACAAGGCAGCTGACGGCTCCATAAAAGGTCAGAGCAATCTGTGTTTGTTTGTCCTGCGCTGTACTGCACTTCTTGTTTGTGGAGCGGGGCCCGGTCTGTTTACATTCACACTGTACTCGAACCACGCTGGAGTTCTCTTCTACCGGACCGAGACCTAGGTTTTAGACCGGGCCAGAGTTCGCCTTTTTGTTTCGTGACAGAGTTCGATGGCGCGTTCACACCTCCCTAAACGAACCGGACTTTCTAGGAAAACGAGCTAGAGTTCGATTAAAGCGGGCTGGTGTGAATGCACCCTGAGTCCTCGAGGCTCAATGGGATTTACCTGTAGAAATAAAGGTTGAATGAATGAATGTTGACAATAAAAGTATATTTACTCATGTTCGTTGATGTAGAGTTCTGATAATTCATGCCATGCTTCTTGGTCCCCAACAAACCTGCAAACAGACACTGACATTAATCTGATGAAGTCAATGTCTATTACAACAAAACTAGCTGTATTCAAAGTTTACTCATTTTCAGTAACATAAAAGTCAGATAAGGGGTTGGGTAATCCTCTCCTCCTTAGGTAGAATACTCACTGCTCCAAGTACTCATTGAGCTCCCTTATGGCTTCAGTGTTCTTCCCTTGGGCCCTCAGTATAGAAATCTTGCGCTTCCTTGCTGCCTGTAGAGAAAATAAAAACAGGATTAGAAACTCAACACCTCAAGTGTTTGTGTGAGGAGGTAAAGAGCTACAAAGCAAGCAAGTTTTGTTTTGTCAGTGCATTACAACCCCTTCTATTTATTTTTCACCATGACATTAAATAATCTTTTATAAGCAAAGCCTAAACAGCCATAAAATTACAAGACACTTTAGAAAATAGAGTTGATTTTATTAATTACTAATAACATTTCTGTCGGACTTGGGCATAATTGGGGAGAGTTGGAGGTCATGTCTAGCTAAAGATGGGCACACATTATGAATCAATGTTTGGTAGCTAGAATGAGCTCAGTGGCTGAGATAAAGTGATGAGTCATCCTCTTACCAAGTGGAGAAAATGGCACACTCCCTCAAACCCCAACGCCTGTCTTCCTGTTGGCATCTACTGCTGCACAAGCCCGATTTACATCATCTGAAAATTGCTTTCCGCTTCGTTTTGAAGCTGAATTGACCTTAAGGTGGATTAAATGCTCATCAATCTGAATTAGTGTATTACTCCTGCTGCTCTGACTTTTCCAAATGTTTGACTCCTTTTTTACCCAACGTCTCCTCCTTCATTTGAAAGTAAGTGAAAAGCTTAAGGGAAAGCTGCTGCTTCATTAGGAGTGCAGTGTTTTGCCATAACCCATTTTATTTATGAACTGGTATTTGACTGAGTGGGACTTCCTCTCCAGTAGTCTTAACCAGTCAATTAAGGGTTGAGTTTGAGTGATGTCAAGGGGACTGTAAATTTTGGACCTGTTCTGACAATGCTATCACAAGAAATTCACTAATCTGTCAACATAGGATAGACGCTTGATTGTTAAGTATATTACCCTCAAAATAACACACAGGCAACAGAATAAACTCTTCATAAACCAAAAAAACAAAAAAGACACTAAAATGACCAGTATGCATTTCTACCTTCACCACATTCATATTTCCAACACATTCAAACTTGGCTGAATATACTGTAAAAGCTTTTAGCTAAAGAGGAGTCAAAAGGGCAAATGAGACAAAATAATTAAAACACATTATGAATGTATCAAGTCAGAAAAAAGCTATCAGAAGTTAATTACTTTTAAATTAATGTCCTCTGACTATAAAACAAAGATTGTGCTATTTTACTATATTTTTAAGTCACTGCCACTTTATGCTAAATTATAATGTAGTAATTTCTGTTCACTTTAAAAGTGAATGCATGTGGAAGCTTTTCTTCAACACCATAAATAAGTAGGAAAAATAGATAAAAAACAAACTTCAATGATGTCAAGAATGAATTTCTGCATGTGCACTCTTCAACACAAGACTTTCAAGCTGAACCTGAAATGTATTATTTCAATATGTGGTGCTAGTTATTAAAAAATCTGACATAAAATGAGGGGGTTGGAGTTGATCCAATGATGATACAACTCTAAGCTGGCAAAGGAGGTAGTCACAGAGCTTAGATGGCTTTACACTCCAACCAGCCGCTCTACTGTCACTCTTCAAGTTATGTGATGTGACGTCAGATTCATGTGTAAGCACACTGTTGTGAGCCTTGCTCAGACTAATTGGTTTGTGTACGCAACCAGAAGCAGCTCAAAGTAGATATACAACCATATTACAGAACCATTATTTCAAAGTCTTTTATCCTCTGCTCCATTTTTAATTCTCTACCAGCTAGATCTCTTTTGTGTTCAAACAAAGTCCTTGTGTAATATTTAACCTTGATCTGTGACCCTGACACTGTGGTGTAGAAAAGTGTATGCAACATTCCATCTAGTGATGATGCATATGTGTATGAAGTTCCATTAAACAATTACAGAATCAGAGGTTATGGGCCAGACAAGGAACAACCTTGTTTTAACTTGGACCTTTGTGACGTTGACCTTGGAGCTGGGGAGATGATAAGTGTATGAAACTCTCTGTCTGGTGATGATGCACATGTGAATGAAATTTTGTTAATTTATCTTGAGCCTATCAAAAGTTATGGGTGGTACAACAAAGTTTACGGACATACAGACGGAGACTATACCATATACCCAACCTGCCTTTGATGGGCGTATAGAAAAGCAGCAACTCAAATCTATTCCTCTTGCTTCCCTAAGGATCCAGAAAAATATGAACTTTGACCTGATCTCTCTTCTGCTGTAATTCTTTATTTAGCATTTTATGGTGTCTTCAGTAATGAGACGTAAATTACTAAATTTATTTCTAGCTTTGGCTTATTATTTACAGCAATCTTCTTCTGAGAAACATCAAAGCATGGTAACTCACATGGTACAGAAACCTTAATCAGGAATATGGAAAGTTTTTTTTTACCAAGACAAATACCTGATCATTAAGGATAAATTCAAATGTTCTGCAGATCCTTAGTAAAAAAACAAAATCATTCCACAAAACCATTACCACTGAAAGAAAATAAAAATAAAAAAGGTTAAAAATATCTGTACAATTGTTCTCAGAGTATTCAATACTAAACTACGACATTAGGCCAATAAATTCTGGGTCCAAAAAGACCCCTGAAACATCCGTTTTAAAACTGAAGCCTCATGGGTCATTTTTGATGCGAGGATATGAGGAGAGTTAACGTTAATGCAATCAGTGGTCCCAAGCAAAGTTAAATAAATGTCCAACGATTATACCTTTGTATTCCAATATTGTGGGAACAAAATATTCACAAAACATTCATATTAATATATACAGCTACAAGTACTTGGGTGTGCACCTGAATGACAACCTCAGCTGGAGCAACAACACCACCAGCCTGATGAAGAAACCTCATCAGAGACTCTACTTCCTCAGGTGGCTGAGACGAGCTGGACTGGGAAGCTCAGTCTTCACCTCCTTCTACAGGTGTGCAGTGGAGAGCATCCTGTGCTCCAGCATCAACGTGTGGCATGGAGGCTGCACAGCTGCAGAAAGAAAAGCTTTGCAGAGAGTGGTGAAGGCTGCACAGAAGATGTTGGAGTCAGTCTCCTCACCATCACAGACATCTACACTTCCAGATGCAGGAAGAGGGCCACCTGCATCATGAAGGACCCCACTCACCCAGCACACACACTTTTTGCTCTGCTCCCCTCAGGCAGAAGGTTGAGGAGCATTAAGTGTAGAACCACTAGACTGAGGAACAGCTTCTACCCTGAGGCTGTTAGACTCATGAATCTCTAACCAGAATAATCACTGTGAAAAACCATATCATGTTGCTGCTGATCTGTTTCATGTTGCTGCTGATCTGTTTCATGTTGCTGCTGATCTGTTTCATGTTGCTGCTGATC